AGGGCAATAAAGATTAGGCTAGAAACAACACCAGAATGTTTCCTTCCTGCCTTCCTTACAGGATTAGCCCTGTAAGGTGGAAAAAAGATAAAATGAGATTTCTTCCAACAACCGGTTCTCTGAACTGCTTAGCAAGTTAATAACCGGTTCTCCCGAATAGGTGCGGACTGGCTGAATCCCACCACTGGTGCTGGGTGACATGGTTTCATGTTGTTGTTAATTTTTTTAAAAGCTGCCATTTCTTTCCAAGTGATGTCGGGAAGTACTTTTACTGACTTCCATTATGGACTTTTTTTGAAAAGGAGTGTTAGCAAAGTCAAGCTCTCCCCCAGCCTTTTCTTTCCAGATCAGATAGGACTGGAGAGAAATGTCACCACTCTGGTGTAAAATAAAATCATATTCCTATGAGGTCAACAGCCTTTATCGCTCCCTCTTCCTTTCTCCTTCCTCTCCAGGAATTGATAGTTGGGGTTGTTTGGCACTGGAAGTGTCAGTTGATTATGTGAGGAGGTGAACCAAGATGTAGAACTGTCTCTGTAAGCGGAGATATGTCTAAATTGGGAGATTTGCAGCTGTATCAGGACAATATTCATGCATTCTGGATAATTCCAAGGCCAACTTATCTCAAGGAAAGAATCCAGCTATACTTGGCCAACCCAATGGACATGCAGCTTCATCCAGAAATGAATTTCAGGAACAGCGAATCCGGATTCACTTAATAACCTTGCTACCAACTTAATAAATGCAATGATTCATTTAACAGCCGTTGCAAGAAAAGTCGTAAAATGGGGCAAAACTCACTTAACAAACCTTTCCCTTAGCGACATAAACATTGGGCTCAATTGTGGTCATAACTCGAGGATTACTTTTGTTGTGGGAATGCAGCTTTTATAGAAAACTAGCCGATAACTGGGCGTTGACCGGGTATTTATTTATAGGGAGGAAATGTCCGGACCAAACATAATTTCTAATGTTGGATTTTCTCCCTTACCAAAGGGAACTGCCTTGTGGAGTAATGTGAAACTGTTACCCTGGTAACTCCACTGTACTGTATGGTAGAAGCCATTTTACGGCACTACAGTAGAAGCCATTTGAAGGCACAACAGGCTGTATCATAACAGAACATGCCCCTTGATGGATGTTAGTGGTATCTTACCTCCACAGTATTTGTCTCCAGAGAGTAAGTCATCTGTGTACCAAGTTTGGTTGAGAATTGCTCAAGGCATTCCAGAGTTATGCTGGAACACACACACACACACACACGCACGCATGTATGTATATATATAAGATGGAGATTTGTATTATTTTTTTCATGCTCAGAGAAGGTTGCCTTGTGGTTCAGAATTCTGCCCATCAAACTCTAAAAGGTAGATTTGAATCATAACTGAAAGCGTTAAGCAGGGAAGTGTGTTTTGGTTCCCACTTATATTTGAAGTGGCAAAATTAGCAGGCAGTGGTAGCTCCCCTCATCTCCAGCAGGTTAAGTGGCTGAGATTTTTTTTTGTGGGGGGGATATGGATATTAGCACATCAAAGCTGAATAAACATTTAAGTTGAGGTTTGGCTTCCTGTGCTTTGGCTTGTTTCATAATTGAAGGGTCATTGTGTCATTCCCCATTCCCGATGTTTATTAACTCTCCCTGTTAGGTTTGGAGAAGGAATGAGAGCGATTGCTTTAATGGGATAATGAATGTCTTGCTGTGCAAAAGGCAGATGTAAAAATGAGAGGCTGTTTTCTGTTAAGTCTTTGCTAATCTGCCTGGTTCTGTATTGGACCCTTGAGAGACAGGACTAACTGGAGTTAGTACTCTTCATGAATACTGCAAGCACTTTCTTTAAATGGCACAAAGAAAACTGGACTTTCTGATTTTTCTTTGACGGCGTTTCGTTTCTCATCCAAGAACTGAGAATCTCCATAAGTAAGGCAAAGGTTCCCCTCAGACATATGTGCTAGTTGTTCCCGACTCTAGGGGGCGGTGTTCATCTCCATTTCAAAGCCGAAGAAGCAGCGCTATCCAAAGACGTCCTTGTGGTCATGTGGCCACCATGACTAAATGCCGAAGGCACATGGAACGCTGTTGCCTTCCCACTAAAGGTGGTCCCTATTTTTCTACTTGCATTTTTTTTTACCTGCAAATGGTTAGGTGGGCAGAAGCTGGGACAAGTAATGGGAGCTCACACTCTAATGCGACACTAGGGATTCGAACTGCTGAACCATGGATCTTTCTGATCAACAAGCTCAGTGTCTTAGCCACTGAGCTGCTGCGGCCCTTTTTAATCTCCATAGACATTTACACGAAGAAAAGAATTGATGATGTCACATGGATGTTATTCTTAGGTGATTTTAATTACTTAACTGATTGGTTGATTGACTGCCTGGCTGTTATTTTGGATTTATTTATTTATTTAGAAAATTTATAGTCATTTTCAGTTGAATTAAGCTACTACCGCCAATTCTTCCAAGCATAATTGCTTTCTTCAGCAACATGGCACAAAGTAAGTGAGATGCAGTTTTGTGATTTTGCCTTCCAGTGACGTTAGGAGCTTCCAGTGATGTTATGAGCTCCGGTACTTGTTTATTAGAAGCCTTTCCTGTCCAAGGAATACGCAGGAGCCTTCTCCAGCAGCATAGCTAAATGAGTCCATTTTCTTTCTGTCTTGCTTTTTTAAGGTTTCACAACCAGGGGTTGCTTACAAGGGACACAACAGAGCGGACTAACCTATATTTGGTTGCCAAACTGATGTCTTTGCTTTTCCATATTTGGCTGGACACGGAACCACTGATTGGTTCTAAACTGAGAAAAACGTCAGGCAAGACTGTATACTGTCACCCTGCCTATTTAACTTATACGCAGAGCACATCATGAGCAAGGCAGAGCTAGATGAATCAAAAGTTGGAATTAAGATTGCTGGGAGAAATATCAACAACCTCAGATGTGCAGATGATATCACTCTAATGGCAGAAAGTAAAGAGGAACTAAAGAGCCTCTTGATGTGGGGGAAGAAGGAGAGTGCAAAAGTTGGCTTGAAACTCAACATTAAGAAAACTAAGATCATGGNTCTCTTCTCTTCTCTTCCCTTCTCCCTTCTCTCTCCCTCTTCTCCTCTCTCCTCTCTTCTCTTCCCTTCCCTTCTCTCTCCTTTCTCCTCTCTTCTCCTCTCTCCTCTCTCCTCTTCCCTTCTCCCTTCTCTCTCCCTCTTCTCCTCTCTCCTCTCTTCCCTTCCCTTCTCCCTTCTCTCTCCTTTCTCCTCTCTTCTCCTCTTTCATTCACACTTCATTCACACTTGGCCAATGAAGTATTCTAGTCTGTTCTGTTCCATTCCATTCCACTTGGTTCCGTTCCACTCCACTCCACTCTACACTCTGCTCTACTCTCTACTTTACTCTCTCCTCTCTTCTCCTCTCATCTTCCTTCTCTCCTCTCTTCTCCATTTTTTCCTACTTTTCCCCTCCCCTCCCCTCTCTTCTCTTCCTCTCCAGAAAGATGTTAGGGGTAGGAGAGATTGGCATTACACTTCTCTAACAAGATCACCATAGGCAAGGTAACCGCAGACAGAGCCCCAGAGCAAAATTTTAGCATTGAAATGCAGAAAAGCTAGCTTTTATCCCATTCATCCTTGAAGGAAGCTCGTTAAACAGTCTGTAGGCTGTAGCCATCTGCCTTGGGACATTTCTGTCTTGTTGTGACTTGAATTGGTTCTCCGGCTTCCTGCTGAAACTTCCTTCCAGCCACGCTGCCTCAGATCCAGCCAAGCACGGAAAGTTCAGTATCTAACGCTTAATATCCTGTGGGAGGGATAGAATGAGCATTCTGTCTTTCCGGCTATGGAATCTCCAAGCGGATCTTGCTTTTTAAATGAGCAAACTTGGCTTTCAGACTGAGGATGCTTCCACCCAAAACCTTAGTGACACTTCTGTTTTGCTTAAGGTCTCTTAGCTCCTAGTCCCAGCCTTCTCCACCTCTTTGTGGAACCTGAACCCCCATATTGCCTAAGTGTTTGAAAAAGCAGAAGGGTGCCTCAACAGATCACAGAACAACCGAACAGCAGAATAACAGAGTTGGAAGGGTCCTTGGAGGTCTTCTAGTCCAACCCCCTGCTCAAGCAGGAAATCCTATACCATTTCAGACAAATGATTGTCCAACGTCTTCTTAAAAACCTCCAGTGTTGGAGCACCCACAACCTCTGGAGGCAAGTCGTCCCATTGATGAATTATACTCCTTGTCAAGAAATTCCTCCTAATTTCTAGGTTGCATCTCTCCTTGATTAGTTTCCACACATTGCTTCTTGTTCTACCTTCAGGTACTTTGGATAATAATTTGACCCCCTCTTCTTTGTGACAGCACCTCAAATATTGGAACACTGTTATCATGTAGAGCCCAACCACAAATAATGGCCAATGGGTGGCCATGAGTCAATGCCCCCCCTTGTACGCTGGTATGTCAATCAGGGTTTTCTCAGAATGTCAAAGGTAGGCGGCAGAGAGAGTGACCACCTCAAACTGAAAAGTTAGAGCATGGACCTCATGGAAGGAATGTGGAGAAAAACACTGGACAACCCTTTGCCAATCTAGGTGTATTTCAACTCCTAAGAATTCTCCAGATCAATACAATCTCTACTGGGAACTGAAGTCCAACCATTCCTCCCCCACCAATCAGTGGAGAGGACTTTGGGTAAAGAAGATCATCTCTCCGATGTCTGGACTTTGATGATCCTCCCTTTCAGATGTCTCCTTCCTCTTCCTCCACTTCCTCACACACTCCACAGGGGTGGCAGTGGTGGGATTCACTTACCTTCCCTACCGGTTCACAAAAGGGAGTGTGCGTGTGTGCTCGCTTAGCTCACACACACTGCATCGGTGCATGTGCACCTCCTCCTGCACAGTGATCGCATGTTATGTCGGAGCGGGTGGGCAAAGCCTCCCGCAGCCGCCACTTATGGTTCGCCTGAAGTGGAGAGGACAGCTGAACACCACCTCTGAGGGCTGGGCTTCAAATGTTTCAGCAACTGGTTCTCTGCTCCGTTGCTGGATGGGCCTGGCCATGGTGGGCGTGACCTACTCGGCCTCATGGACCATGCTGGGGGATGTGTGTGCATCACGTTTTCGCTTTCCCCATGTTCAGGAGGCTTTCCCTGAGCCTCCGGGAGGGCAAAATTCCTACCCCGGGTTCCGGAGGCCTTCCAGGAGGACCATTCCCCCCCACCCCATGAACCACCATGTGGGCCCTGCATTAACCTCGCATCCAAAACGGGCCGCATGGAGACTCCTGGATGGAGTGAGGTGGGCGGGGCCAGCCCGGGGTGGGATTTGGAGGTTCTCCGAACCAGCCATAATGTTAGCTACGGGTTCTCCCTGAACCCGGGTGAATCTGTAGCAGCCACCCCTGGTTTGGGGTTCATTTCTCTTTGTTCCCCTCATTACATTTATGAAATGGTAGTAAATATTTATTCATCTCTTTTCTTGGAGAGCTTTCTTTCAAGAAGCTGAGCACAGATGCTGTTAAAGATGACTTTCCATAATGCAGGTCCTACCTGTTGCCTGTTCTGAGAAAAGGGTGCTTCCCTTTTTCAGAGGTATTTGAACAAAGGTTGGAGAGCTGAGTCCCGGGATAAAAGGTTCGAGTCACTACATGGCCTCTTTCAATGAATGTTGGCATGTGGAACATACCTATGGTCTATTACGGTTCCATCATAATTTAAAACAATTCCTTTGCATTGCTGAGGAAGCATGCAGACAATCCCATCTTGAACTGAACTGGCTGGAGACATACAGTCAGCTGATGTCCAGCTCAGGAAACACGAGCCAAGCAAATGTCAACAAAAACGTTTGGAGTCTTGCCTTGCTACTGGGTGTGTGATACATAAAAAGGTCTCTCTGGAGGCAGATGTGAGTAGAATAGCTTACACAGATTAGAGCTACAAGCAGGATGTTCTGCAGAGAAAATAACAACTCCTGGAGTTCATCACTACTGCCTTATACCAAAGCTTCTTCTTTTTTTAAAAAAAAATCCACTGCGAGTTAGAATGTAGTGCAGATTAAATCTCAAAATTAAGATTGTTTTGGTAACCTCAGGTCCGTTTGGTTCTTTTAGAAGATTCAAGGCTTAAAGCCTAGATNAATGGAGATTTTGCAGTATCCTTCCCCTGGAGTGGGGAGGCACATAGTGATTTTGCAGTATCCTTCCCCTGGAGTGGGGAGGGAATGGGGATTTTGCAGTATCCTTTCCCTGGAATGGGAAGGGAAATGGGGATTTTCTCCCCCCCCCCTATATATATAGGGGTCCACCATATGTAGGGCTATGGTGAGTAGTGGGTGGTATACACTTACCTTCCCTACCAGTTTTTAAATGTGAGTGCATGCACTTTCGGCAAAAAAAAAAGGCCTAAATGGGATGCCATAGAGCTGGATGTGAGTGGGGGAAGCCTCCCATGATTTCTACTAATGGTTCAGGTAATGTGGTCCGAACTGGTAGAGTACCAGTTGTGCCCAATATGAATGAAAAAATGTGGTGTGGAAGGGTGGATGCTTGCAATTACATTTCTTTTTCTTTCTTTTCTTTCTTTCTTTCCCTCTTTTTCTCCCTCCCTCCCTCCCTCCCTCCAGGAATGGTGGCATGATTTGAGGGGTGTGTGCGGAATTAGAGTTAAAACCATACTGTATGGAAAATGCCCTGGGGTTTTAAAACTTCATTTAAAACCAAAAACAATGAATTGGTTGATTAATGGAGGTCGGAGAGAATGTGGGTAAAAGGGGCAAAAAGTAAATGGTGAGCATCCTGTAGTAATCAACTCAAGATATGTATAGTAAAGAGCTTTCGTTGGTAAAATAAGAAATGTAATGCCATTATGAATGAGGCACTGTGGTTCTGGCATAGGAAAAAAAAGGAGCAATATCTTATTCTGTTTCCCCAAATATAAGACCGCCCCGGATAATAAGCCCAATCGGTCTTTTGAGGACATGGGCTAAAATAAGCCCTCCCCTGAAAATATTGCAACACAGCAACAGCCATGAGGTAACCTCGCTCACCGTCTCCTGTACCTCAAAAATAATAAGATGTGGTTGTGTCTTTAAGTATGAATGATTTGAGGTAAANGTCAGTCCTAGAGAAGATCAACCCTGACTGCTCTTTAGAAGGCCAGATCCTGAAGATGAAACTCAACTACTTAATGGCCACCTAATGAGAAGGAAGGACTCCCTGGAGAAGAGCCTAATGCTGGAAACGATGGAGGGGCAAAGAAGAAGGGGACGACAGAGAAGGAGGCGGCTGGATGGAGTCACCAGAGCAGTAGGCATGAGCTTAAATGGACTCTGGAGGATGGTAGAGGATAGGAAGGCCTGGAGGAACATTGTCCATGGGGTGGCGATGGGTCAGACACAACTTTGCAACTAATAAGAACAATAACAATATTGCATTTGGAATGCTACTAAGTATTAAAGGATCAGTCCCATCTGTTTTTCCATGGATTACCTCCTACTAAGCCTGAGATTCTATCTAAGCTTCTGACACCAAAGGTCTGGGGGAAGACTGGTGGATAGCATTGTTTAGTTCAAAAATACAAAACGAATGAACTAAGTCAGAGGCATTCATTTAACCCCATTTAAACATGGGTTTCTAAGGTAGAAGAAGACCAACTTAAACCACAGAGAGCTTGGATCAAATATTTGCTTTGTTTGCCAAGTTCATGGTTCCATGAAACTTGGAAAACCCATGGATCTCCAGACTTCCAAACATGGATCTCTAGAGGCCAAGCTAAACATAAATGTTCAACATGTCATTATCTCTCTCTCTCTCTCCTAGTTTCTTCTTCCTTTTAAGTAGCAGCGGCTCAGAGGGAAGGGTGCAGCTTGCTATTTATAATGAAATGTTCTGGACAAATTCAGTATTATGGGGTTGCTCTCTAGAATGTTTTATAACTCCTATGGGTTCTGGATAGAGTTTTTGTTTAAAAGAATCCAAATAGAAAATTTCCTGCTCTATGACATTATTGCAATGGGAAGAATAATTCTTTCTGGCATCCATATGCAAGCTCGGCTGAATTTGTGCAAATCCAAACCATTTCCAATAAGCAAAGCCCTGCAACCTCGTGATGGGTATCAGTTCTTTTCCATGATAAACTGTCTTGTACATAACTTTTTCCTTCTCAGTGGAGCCTTCCCCAGCTATTAGTACATCATTCTCATTTTCTGTACCTGCCCTCGGATTTGTGTCACTTATTTCTTTCCTTGTCCAATAGATATTTGCTTTTCGGGCAGAATACTTTTGACTTTGGTAGCTGTCACCACTTTAGCAATAGCACTTAGCTCTATACACTGCTTCATAGTGCTTTACAGCCCTCTCTAAGCAGTTTGCAGAGTCAGCCTCTTAATCTGGATCCTCATTTTACCCACCTCGGAAGGATGGAAGGATGAGTCAACCTTGAGCCTGGTGGGATTCAAACTGCCAAACTGCTGGCAGCCAGTAATCAGCAGAAGTAGCCTGCAGTACTGCACTCTAACTACGGCATCACCATGGCTCAAGCTTGCAGGAGTCCCTGTTCTCATTCCGTTCTCAAATCACCTGGGGAGAGTTAAGGTCTTGTTCAATGTCTACGCAACCTAACTGTGCATGGAAAAGAGGATCGATCAATATAGTCACTAGGAGTCAACAACAACTCAATGGCACATCATCAATCAATCAACCTGAAATCAGGAAAACCAAAGTATGTCGCAGGTGAGTATGAGCACCTCGCTATGCTTCTGGATTGAAAGCAGAGGTGCTATTCAGCAGATTCTGACCAGTTCTGGAGAACCAGTAGCGGAAATTTTGTGTAGTTCAAAGAACCGGTAAATACCACCTTTGACAGGCCATGCCCCCATCTATTCTCTGCCTCCCAAGTTCCAGCTGATTGGGAGGAAATGAAGATTTTGCAGTATCCTTCCCCTGGAGTGGGGAGGGAAATAGTGATTTTGCAGTATCCTTCCCCTGGAGTGGGAAGGGAATTGAGATTTTACAGTATCCTTCCCTTGAAGTGGGGATGGAATGGTGATTTTGCAGTNTTAATTGATACTGCGGCTTATAATCCGGTGCGGCTTTTGGTCGTAAAAATACGGTAATACTGACCATTTTCTTTGGCACAACACAAAAGCCCATTTTGACTTGTGGAGTCTATTTGCTGGATCTGGAAGAGAAACTGTTGAGCACATTATCCTTGACCCTAATCTCTCTTAATGCACTACTTTGTTTGATGTTATCCTTAAATATTATTAGGCCCATATAATTCTTCCATGCCATAACATTAAAAGACAAATGATATCCAGTCAGGACAGAAATTAAACAGTCACCTAAAAGCAGCTCAGGCTGCCACAATGCCACAATGTTTTATAAGTATCACAAATATAATAAACATAGCAGCAGAAATATAAAGAAGATTAAAAACATCAGGCACTACCTATCTTTGACTACTGCTAGAAGAATAATGAGGACAGCATTAGGAGATGTTTCTAAGAGGATATTCCATAGCCAGGGTGGGCTATGTAGGGGAGACAGACAGCAATGGAAAGGATCGCTAAGCATCGATCTGCTGCATATTATATGTGCAATATAAATAGGCAAGTTCCATTGTCTTCAGCTATAACTGTATAGTATGTGCTCACCTGAACACAAGTCCTATTGAATGTAATGAGGCTTATTTT